AAATTATAGTTTGAGTAAGCAGTTTATGGTTTTTGTTCAGCTATTGCTGCACCTCATATCCCTTATGTCGGTAATCTGGTGATCTTGGAACATGGCTGCTTGGGATGCTGTAACACAGCCCTTGTTGCCTCTTGCACACAGACCGCTTGATGCTGAAAAAATAAATTCCAGTACTAAGATATTTATTACAGCCACCCATGACATTTAAACCTGCCTTGAAAATCTGAATGTGATTGGTGATGCTGGTAAAAAAGAGAGAGGAAACTACAAATACTAGGAAGCACAAGCCTACTGACCCTCTGTGGAGGTGTGAGTGCTGATTCTTCGCATACAGAACTTAAATAAAGGTAAATTAAATTAATGTTCTGACCTCAGCACAGAGCTGTGAGAAAAATCAATAAATCCAATCTCACCAACACCAAAATCCTATTTTAAGCTATTCAACAGCCTATATTTTGGCCAAACCACCTCCAATTCCCCAAGTTTGTCTTTTTGATTGTTTGAATAGTTAGAACTGTTCTACTAAAATTGGAGTTGATGGGTTAGTGCAGAGTATTAGCCAACCCTAATGTAATGTTAGGAGCGGAGGCCAGAAGGTTGTTTTGTCTTTGAGAACTTCTTTGGTGAGGTTTTCACTTCACAAGTTACCTTCTCCAGATTTAGTTAGAGGAGCCTCTAACCTGATGTATGTCAGGTAAATGTATGGCTGGTGCATAGAAATATTTCAGGTAAATAAATCCGTTATTGGTTGCATTGGCCCTTTCATATATTGCTTTATCATTTAATTTCTATGGCTGTACCAAGTCAGAAAATCCATTTAGTTTACCTTGTTTTTTTATATATGTAATCATTTCCAGCCTTTATATTGTAGGGTTTGTAAATGGATGGGTTGTAGCTTTTTGTCCTTCTGTACTGATTAATTTGTTCTCTGAGAAACAGCAAGGAGCATGATTTCACATTCAGGTCTACATAGCCATGTAAACTAGAATGTGATTTGTAAACCATTTGCACATCTCTTCACTGTGTGAATGAGATTTGCAGCATTGGATGGCCACTAAATGAAGCCGAGGAGCATAGGTATTTCCAGGACACAGCAATAATAAAATTGTAAAAAAACCCACAAATATATATATATTAGGGATGCACCGATACCACTTTTTTAAGGCCGAGTACGAATACCGATACTTTTTTTCAACTACTCGCCGATACCAATTACCGATACTTTTTCTTAAAGGGACAGGTCACATTTTTTCTAAAGCAATACAAAATCATGATTTTAGGTCAGTTTCTTAATATTATGAAGAACATGAACACTCTGTAGTGTGGCACAGCTATATCCAATTCTGCATACCTAGCTTTATATTATAAGAACTTTATAATATAAAGCCAGGTATGCAGAATTGGATACAGCTGTGCCACACTATACAATAATACACTGTTCTGGAGTCTGGATATGTGATCATCTATTTTCCCCACTATGGGGATACAAGCCTTAGTTAGCAATGGCATTATCTCCTTTCTTTTTCTATCCTAACAGGAAGTAAGGATACATCTCCCCAATAAGATCACCTGCTGCAGTAAAAACTAAAAGCGGGCCTGTACCTTCGCCACTCTGTCCACCACTAAAAAAAAGTTTTGGCTAGAGTTGGGCTTTAATTTGGTCTTAGATATCAGAAAAAGTGTGAAATCTGACCGATTTCTTGGTTGGCTTAATTACTGTTTTTTTTTCATCTGTTTTTAGTAATATCTATTAATTCATTAACGGGCCAGAAAATGACCATTAGGGAATTCATTATGAACAGGAGCTTAAGCAACATAATTAATTAATCATAACAAAGGTTCACATTTTTAGCTGATAATTAAACCTAATTTTACTGTTTTTGTTAAATTATCAGACTGTAGCAAACCCAACAATTAAAACCACAAAATTAGAATGTACTGTAGAATTTCTCCTTGTAGTTAGCAATGGAAGGCAAAGCAATCTAACTGTTGAGCATAATAAGTCATCATAGAAACACACATACACTGTATATGTATATATATTTGTATACAGGGTGCCATTAAGCTTATTACTTATATATGAAACCTCAGATGTTAGCTGCTGTACTCTGTACAAAGGCAGAAACATTGCATATAACATTGCCCCAAATCTAGTATACAGCCTAGAACATTATAAGGAATGGCAGAAGTTTGCCTTACAAAATATATCTTTAAATGTGTTTATGTATCTTATTACAATGTCTATTTAAAAGAGAATTATGGCCAAACCTTTTTTTGGCCATAGTTCTCTTCAGGGTCACAGGAGCATATTTACTAATGTCCTCCTGTGACCCAAAACTCAGCATATAGGGGGCAAAGCCGAGTTGCAGCCAGGAGGGATTTTGACAATATTGTCAGAATCCACCTCACTGCCTGATTGACAGCTGGCTCTGCCTTTCTAGAGCAGGGGGAAAGGAGGTGTCTGACAGTCAGTGATATTTGATTGCTCAGTTCTCAATCAATAGAGCCAACGTGTGACAGCTTCAGTGTCACAAGTTGGCTCTAACTATGGGTATGAGTGTATTTCACTCATCCCATAGTTCTACTTTAAAGTATCAGCAGGTAATAACAAATTGGATTGGCAGGTAATGTAGGAGAAAATTGGATGTGCAATCAATCAGTCTGTCTTACATTGTAGTAGGATGCATATGGCTATTAAATTTTGTACTCGATCACTTCTCTTATAACTAGCTTTACAATGTGTTGCAGTACTATTGCATGTCAGCTCTTTAACAGCCCAAAAGAGTTACCCTTAATGTGTATCATATAATATTGGGTGAGTCACAATCAAAACAGGTAAGCAATTTGTATTTATAAGTATAAATGCACTGTGCTTAATAGGGATGCACCGATACTAGTAAAAATTGCTTAAAGGGGTTCTAGGGTTTTTTTTTTAAACCCGCTTTAACAGCGGTTTAAACTTAGTTTTTAAACTTTTAGAAGTTTTAAAAAAACCTGCTTTAACAGCGGTTTGAACTTACCTCGTTATCGCTGCGCGCAAGGTAAGTCTATGGACACGTGCACCCGCATGCAGACACCGCGGAATCGGAAGTGCCTGCAGGGACAGAGGAGTCAGCGCTGGATCGGAGAGCCGCCGCACCGCTGGAGGAACAGATGAAAACATCAGGAAAGAAGAAGAAGATCGGATTAAGAGACATCATTTAAGATACGTGCTGACACTAACATTGGGGGGAGGGAAACATTTTTTTGACTTTAATGTCACTTTTAGCAACCACAATAAAGTGAACAAATAAATAGGCAAATACATTCCAACCACCTCAAAGTGATAGTATATAACACTTCCTCACTTCCTATGAAGCGTACTGACATCAGCATGGACCTGCCTGTCAACGCGTTTCCTCACCAGGACAGACGTTTGAAGTATCACCCAAGCGATTAATGAACGAGGGGCCCCTGTCTTGGGGGGGGGGGGATATCAGGTGGACTGTACAGGGCCCCATGACTTCTACTTGTGGCCCTGTCCTGGTGACAGATACACATAAGCTCAATTGACAATGGTTCACATTTTGCTATTGCACACCCTACTGTAAATGGCCAGGGACCTGAGACTGGCCCATGCAATTTTATCTGTGATTTAATGTCTGAAATGTTGTATTGGTAACCACTTTGTTGTAAACCCTACAAATATATCGTAACTGAAATAATTCTACCTTAACTTCAGCTATCCTGTCACATTGGCACAAACATTGGGGGGTTGATTTACTAAAGGAGTATAAAATGTTTAAAGTGAAAAAAAGTTCAATCATCCAATCATGTGCGGGACAGAACCTTGTTCCGTAAAATTCCCTGCACATGACTGGGTATCACTTTGTGAACATTCTCTATTCCTTTATTTATTTACCCCCCACCGGTTTCATGTCCTGCAGGATTTTGCTTTTCAAGCTGTCATTTACTGTGAACAACAACACCTATCTAATCATGATGTATCCCTTACCTCTTACGAAAGGTTAGTAAAATTTCCGGTGTCTAGATTGCAGATAACAATAACTGGATCATTGATGTGCAATTAATCCTACATCTCTTCATAGCTTTACTTGGTTAGAGCTGATTTGTTCCTTAACCATGCCGAGCAAAGCAAGAGGTTCACTTTAATTCAGTTCTCCCCTGCTTCGTTTCTCTCCATTCAGTCATAGAAAGTAAACTCTGGATAAGCTATGAGTCCCTGGGGTTGTATTTTACACAGGTCTATGGACGCGTGACAGTGCTGATTGGCCCGGCACTATCACAGGGAGTGTCTGTGAAGGTTCTCATTCATCCAGGTCATGGTATACCTGTAAAAAATACATTAAGGCAACTGGACTTGCTGTAGTTTTCTTGAAGACAGAGTTGGGAAAGTTAGTTGAATGACCAGCTCAACGTCTTCAAGAAAAATACAGCAAATCCAGTTACCTTAATTGAATTCTTACAGATATATTACAGGGAATGAGTAACATCCTCCATCATACCTGGAAGTACAGAGTGCTTCCTTCAGTTCCCACAACTCACAGGAGCTCTGGCAAGAAGAGGAAAGGTAAGTATATTCTGCTGCGGTTAGTACTGGAGATTACATTTGTGCTTTTCCTTGTTTAAGAACAAGTAGTTGTTTGGCACTTTTTTATTGTTTGAAATCAAGCTGACATAAGCTGGAACTCCCCATTAGTAATGAAAGGGCTGTACCACCTAAATTAGAAACTCCAGTCACTGGTTTGCTGCTGTTTGATCTATAGCTATAGCTGGGATTGATTTTCTCCCAAGCCAGTGACAGAAAAGATGACCTATGTCATCCACATTGGCAGGATTTTAAAATGATGAGTGACACCTGGCTTTTCCCAAATCTATCTATCTATCTATCTATCTATCTATCTTCAGGTGTTTTATTTCTTCATCTTTTATTATAATAGGTATCACTGACTATATTCATTTGTACATGTATTTGATTATAAGAAGCATTTGTTTTACAGGAAGCAGACACTGATGAAAACCAGGGTACATTAACCTTTGAAGAGTTCTGCGTGTTCTACAAGATGATGTCATTACGGAGAGATCTGTACCTCTTGCTTTTAAGTTATAGTGACAAAAAAGACCATTTAACAGTGGATGAAATAGCCCAGTTTCTCAAAGTGGAGCAAAAGGTTTGAGACTTGTTCTATAGTTGCTACACAATATATAAATTAATTTGATATGTGTAGAATGTAATAGAGCATGTATGTACATGTATGCATCTCAGCCTCCCACTGGAGGTGTAGTGTGCTAATTCTGTATCTCCCTAAAGATAAAATGCACTCACTGTAGTAAACCTAAGAACAGAGCAGGTGATGCCTGACATTGCACTTCAAGCCCTGTGCAGACATCTGGAGAAAGCAGTTATACGATGACACTAGAAGGACATTAAATCTATGGTAGCATATTATACACATATTGCATGCAGACATCCTCTAGTGTTGTCATAGTAGCTACTGCTTTAATTTTGTAGCTGGAAAGCTATGCAATAGTAATATTTAGTAAATGTACATTTACAAATTCCTTGTTAAGCAGCCATGTTGCATTAATGTTATAGTAAAAGTGGAGTTTTCCTTTATGCACTTTCTGCCAGCAATCTGTTGAGTACAACCCTCCTCAGCACAGTGTCCTATGCCGAGGGAACCATTCATCTGCATTTCATTGTGGAACTATGGGTCCACAGCAGTGCAGGCACCTAGTTCTGAGATTGCACTGTCAATGACAGCGCTGGTCGCCCACTGACAATCGGGAATCACACTGATTTGTTTACGATCATGTGATCACCATGATATCCAGTGACAGTGCTCATGTGGATTTGTTTATAAAATCAGCCATGCTGGCTGTGCTTTAAAAAAAACACAGTGACAGCTGAAGAAGGCAAGCAGTGGCTGTCAGAGTGCAATACACACAAAAGAAAAAATATATAAACTGTTAAGCTTACAATCATTTTTTCCATCACCTTATAATTAGGGCATTCATTAAAATAGTGTACCAAAAAAAAAAAATAACTGTTTCCTTTTTTGCAGTCAAATTTGAGAAACCCCCACTATGTGTCTGTTATGTGCCCCATTTACACAGTATAACGAACATTTTTTTGGTTTCAGCAGGCAAGTTGGCCTGAAATTTGAGGATTGTGTTTCTGTCGTTAACATACAATGGAGATACCAGGGTTTTAATCCTTTAACTAACATTACAAAAGAAGGAGAAGCAAGTAGAAATGTAAACCCTTAAGAAGCCAGGAAACCCTAACCCAAATAAAAGCAATTTAGTCTGTAAGAAGCATTTTTAACAACCTCCCATCCATTGGTCGTACCTAAACGGCTGAACCGGAGCCTTGTAGATGCGGGTGGAAGTTTTAAGACGTCCCTCCCCGCCCCCACTCGTGTGCGGTGCCCAGTGCGGGCACAAGTGGGGAAATATCTTTAATGTAAACAGTCGGTGATGGCTATTTAACTACAAGCGTTCCGACATCTGTAGAGACCCGATCGCTTGTATTTTGTGCGGGTGGGCAGCCCCTCACTGCCGTCATCACCGGTCCCGAAATCTGCTGTGCATGGTGCGTGCCGGGACCGGCATGGTGGCTCTGTTACTGGAGATCAAAGAGAGATCAGTACACAATCTCCTTCTGATCTCCTCTCCAGTGTCAGAATGCAGGAAGTGATGTATATTACATCACTTCCGCATTCAGCTGTCATTCCCGGCCATAGAAGCCAGGGAGAAGCTGGTGAGGCTTTATCAGCTGCTCCAAGGGTCCCTAGGTGACATTAGGGGTCTTGGAGACCCCTGATGTCTCCATGAAGAGGTCCTGTCAAGTAAATTGGCTATCACATAGGGGGATTCTTATCCCCCTATGTGATAGCAATAAAGTTAAGTGTAAAAAAAAAAAAGTAAAATGAAAGAAGCATAAAAAAATCACATATAAAAAAATACCAAAATGTTTTTAAATTCCCCCACATACACATGCAAACATGTGCGAAAACGATGACTGCGCCCATTGTGCCACACATGTTACATATCACCGCGAACGTCGGAGTGAGAGCAATAATTCTAGGGCTATCAATCACTGTTAACACTAAACTGATGAGTGGCAAAAGTTTTTAAAGCGTCGCCTGTGGCTAATTTTGGGTATTGTAGTTTATTGCAATTTTGCAGGGGCGTGCAGTTTTAAGACTTGACATATTTAGCATCTATTTACCCGACATGACGCCGTCTTTTATATTTTACCAAAAAATCGGGGTAATAATAAATGTTTTATAATATTTCATAGGGAAACAGGTTTTTTGAAAAAAAATTTCAGTACTTTTTTGTTATGTAGTAAAAAATGTAAACCCCGTGGTGATTAAATACCACCAAAAGAAAGCTCTATCTGTCCCCATAAAATGGTATAAAATTCATTTCAGTACAGCGTTGCATGACGGAATAAATGTCAGTCAAAGTACTGCAGCACTGAATACTGAAAAATGGCCTGGACAGGAAGGGTGTTTAGCTTATGCTATGTGAATGGGAACATGTAACAAATATAAAATAGGAGGTATCTCAATTTGGCTGCAAAAGTGGAAATATACTTTAAAGTATTATAAAAATATTTAGGTTTACAAATTAGCTATAGGGCTATAGTCAAATTACACAATTACCTATGTTTCAATGACCTCTGGTTATTAAATGGTTAAAGTGTCAATGACACTTTTAAACAGAAATCCAACTAGCCACTCCCTGGCTCTGTTTAGTAATAAGGGATATATTATTTCATACCTCAGATGATGCTAAAGTGTAATTGCCATTGGAACGCCTATTCCAGCGATGGCACCACATCTTCTACATACAGGGGTTGATTTACTAACCTTATAAACACACCACGAACATGTATACACCTCTGTAGTGTGTTCCCTCCCAGCATGATCTATCGGTGGAATCTAAACACCTTTGTAGTGTGTACACACCCAGCAGGTGTGTTGTGCAAAGCCCTGCCCTGAATTCCAAGGTGATGTTGGGTAAATTAGCTCTATGTTGTGTTGCTTGCGTTGATGAATGCAGGAATGTAAATGCATGAGCTAACCATTTTTGTCTAAACTGTGAAGCAGCATTATATATGCATCATGTGCATGATTTTTCCATATATGGCATTAGTGGAAACATGCTTATAGAGTCTTTTTGGTTGATAAATACGCTTTGCTGTGTAAAAATCACACGCACCTGGTGCGTGCGTGTGTTTAGGTTAGTAAATCACCGCCACAGTCTCAGTACAGGAGATAGCCATAGAGAGCAGTGGCAGTTCACTCAGTGCATGTCCTGCTGTGATGATGCGGCTGACTTTTGCAGCTGTTATATAAAAGATAATTCAGGTTTAAATGTGAATCACGACCAGCTAATGGCCATTTGTTGTCTTCTATTATTATTTAACATTACTGGTATTTCTCTGGTTAGAGTATTTCTCATTAAGAATTAGTAGCTCTCAGGGCCCACTGATACTAACACATACACTAGCTATATTGGACCAAAGCTGTTGTAGTCAGATGGCCAGTCTAGTCCAGATATAATTAACAACCTTTGTAATAGAGCAATTGTAAGCCGTATAGGTCGTTCTTGCGGCAACCCTGTAAATGTTTTTATTTTTTTCTATCATTTTGGTGCTTGATATTTTATGTAGAGTTGCACACAATTTAGGATGGGAAGTTGTTCTTCATTACTGTCGGATGGTAATAATCATTGGCAAGTAGCTTAATTGTGTGTGTGAGTAGATAATGACTTTAGAGGCAGTGGGTGGCCTGATAAAATGTTGTCACCAGCATGTGATTGAGCAATAGATCAATATCAGTGATGAGCATTGCAGGAGGATAATAATGCTGGATTTGTGTCAGGAATTACCAGCTATTCTGACATACATATCCTATTAAAATAAAAACTCTTCTTAGAAGGTTAGAAAACTCTTTGTGGTATAAACTAGAAGATGCATTAGTACATATACTGCCTGGCCAAAAAAAAGAGTCACCACCTGGATTTAGCTGAGCAGATCAGTATTGGATAATTATTGTAGTGATTCATATGTTTCATCTGGCAAAAATGTGTTTTACCCTAACTGATGCAGTGAGTAGCTTCTAAATTCTTAAACATCCATGGATTTTTTCTTCCCTGATGGCAGATTGGGCATATTCCAAGGTGACAATGCCAGGATTCATTGGGCTCAAATTGTGAAAAAGTAGTTCAGGTAGCATGAGCCATCATTTCACACATGGATTGGCCACCACAGAGTCCAGACCTAAACCCCATTTAGAGATTTAGTCTTTGGGATGTGCTGGAGAAGACATTACATAGTGGTCTGACTCTCCCATCATCACTACAAGAAAAATGAATGCAATTCTGGACAGAAATAAATGTCACATTGTATAAGCTTATCAAAATAATGCCACAGTCACTTCTTTTTTTGTTGGCCAGGCAGTTTATATTTAGTATACTTCCTCAAATAACTATTCTAGCATTTATATATTTGTTTGGCCACATGGAAAATAGCTTGTTTTTGTTTGACTGCTGTCAGTACATGGACATATATTCATAACCTGTAAACCTTCATTCGTGTTATCTGATATGGTCATCATTTTCTACTTGTCTGTTTTGAAGTGTTGAATCTTCATTCATAGAAAATAAATATGGGTAACTTTGCTGTTCCCTTTGTCTTTGTCTCCAATCACATCTGCTTGTACTGTGCATTGAGAATGGCAACACTTCATATATTACACTAACATATCATTACTGCATGTTTATAATTGTATTAGATGCTTGAGATAAATTGTAAAGACAGTCCATTACTTCCTATTACATTTGCCTTTTGTTAATTAATTCACAATCATTTTATTGTAATGAAAATAATAACTGCAGAATAATTTTATTGCCAAATTAAAAACTTACACATTTTAATTCAATTGTATTCATTTAAAAATAATAAAAATACATGTGTAGATACAACTATCATAAGTATAGTACCTGGATCTTTCTTCATATCAGCTTCTTGCCATTTCCCTTTGGACTGGGAGATTTGAGCCGATTCACAGACATCAGTTGTAATTCTTAGTGTGTGGCCCTGGCAGCTCAACATAAGTCAATGATTGAGTCGAGTTTTGTCGATGGAGCCGGGCTGAAAATGTTGATTTGCTGCAGTTCATGTATTCTGACAGCAGTGGGTATCGGCTGTCAGAATATAATAGCCGCAGTGGGAGATTTGTCCATCCATGCTGTTTAGTGTGGATTAAGAAGTCGGATTTTTTTCTATCCGTCTAGATCTAGTAGTGTAAGACGAAGTTAAGGAAAATATGCTTGTTCCATTGGGGGCAGGATAGTAAACATTTGCCATTAGCTGTATAGATCAGGGTGATTGGATACTTTGCAATCCAGTGACTCGTTTTTCCCTCGTGTGACCTGTAGATAAAAATATTCCTGTCCATGATTGCCAGCCTATAGTTCCGCATAATCGGTCTCAAATAGCAATCCTTCTGATCCATTATCTGGTATCTGTGGCTTTGCACTGGGCATCAGTCTTATTATGTCTAAGTGCTTACAAATCTGTGAGAGTTCATAGGTGTTTCTTCTACTACTGGAGCATTTTCTGCTGTAGACCTAGAGTCTGTGTAATGGGGACTGTTTACGTTAATCACATCATGTGGCAGAGGGGCAGGACTGAGCGGTTTAGTATTTAGCTTGTGTTGTATTTAATAAGCCTGCGTTAAAATTCCAGACATCTTTGTCAGTTCACATGTATGAACTGACATCCAGCAAATGTGCTGTAAAAATAAATCAGGTCGTAGTGGAGATGTGCTGTTATCAAATGGAATGTTTATATATCTTTGTGTCTGCAGGTGTACGATGCTATATTGTTCATTAGGCCAATATAGAACAAGTTCTTTTTTATCTTTAAATGCAGTACATGCCAGTCATGCATAGTACCTGTGGTCAAAAACGAAAATAAGTATACATTTCTATATAGAATTTCCATATATATCTATCCCACTCCTAATAACCATATAGATCTAGAAGTTTGTAAAGGTATTTGTTGAAGATGTCCATAGCATGCACTGACACAATTTCACTCAGCCCTGTGAATATGCACTTCTGAACTATAACTCAGGTCTGAACAATGTAACATTATCAATGCGCGATGTGATATGGGTCTTGAGAAATCGAGATTGCATCACACAAAGCAGCAGGGAAAGCCATTCAAAGCACACTGAGAATCCAGGAAGGTGTTGAAAGTGATGGGCAGACAGAATGCAGCACTCACTACATAAAAGGGATTTGGTTGCATTAATAAAAATAACTCTAGTATGTATTCCTATTACAATGCTGATGTTATAACAGGATAGTATATACTGTTGCTCCTTTAAATGTAGCAATTGCATAGCAAAAGCACACTTAAAGGATAATTAAACCCTCAATGGTTTTTGCATATATCTACTGCTAGCAAGCAGTAGATATATGCAAACTTTTTTTTTAAAAAGTTACGAAAAAGGTTAAAACTCACCTGTCTCTGCGCCGCGCGCTCCTGTCTGAAGATCTGAAAAATCTTGGGTGGCCGCAAAGGATGATGGGGCGGGCGCATGCGCATGCGAGACACAAGGTAAATCAATGCAAGCAGCGTACACGCGCACAGACTCCTTGGGACACAGAAGACACAGCAGTCATCGCTGGATCAGAGACTGGAACCAGGGACTTCAGAAAACTACAGGAAAGAAGAAGATGACCGGATCATGAGACATCATTTAGGGTAAGTCTATACACTAGAATGGGGGCAATATCCTTTAAAGCGACACAAAACTGCCCTTTCAGTGCTCTCTTTATAGTCATTAACCTATGCCCACTTTCCTTTCTATTTTAAAATGTGAACTTTACCTTTTTTTTCTTTTGAAAAAGTGCTGGGCGCACTCCCGCCGCTCCTCCATTGCTCTGTAATGTCTGCTGCCGATAAGTAAGCCTTGTGACGGCTCACATAGTATGCAAAGCAAAAAAAAGAGAGAAAGCAGGCAGTAAAAGAAATATAGCTCACCTCACACTTCAAAAGAGCCACCAAGGCCAACAGGGCCACCCATGGAATGAATTTCAGCCAAATCAGCAGTGGGATCATGCCTGCACCCTAAAACACCTCACGGAGACGGCACACACATAAACAAAAGTGCTTGATTAAGTGACGTTTCATATTTATACACCAATCCTATTTTGGGAAAACAGCAGTCTTACAAGATTGTTTAACCCCTCTGATTGATATTTCCCCCAAAAGAATTGGCCAAGAGTGGCTTTACGGCATTATTTGACTGTAGGCATTCAAACATTTAACTTCATAGATAAACTATAATACTTTGGTGCCATTTAAGTCTGATGTTTTGTATTTATATCAAAACTTTATTTTATAATTCAAAATTGATTCAGGACGAACCCTGGACAATGGCATCACAAAGTAATATGGGTTTTCTAGAAAGGGGGCACAGCACAGACTCTCTCTGTGATTGAAACTCTGCAAGCCTCATCTAAACAGAGGGCTCAGGGAAGGGTAGAAGAAAAGCAGCTAATCTGACCCATTGAACATGTAAAGGAAACATTTATTTGAAAGTGTTCCTTTTTAGTTTTGGATAAAGTGGGGAAGGGTTAGAACTAGGAATGCAACAAAATTTCAGCCACCGAAACATATCGGCAGAAAATGGCTCTTTTGGCAAAATGCCGAAAGTGTCATCTTTCGGCCGAAATAGCGGTGCATCCTTGGTTTCTCTACTCCCGGCTGGGCACTGCTCTGTGTCCTTTCTGACACAGTACAGTGCCCATTGGGGAGGAGAGAAACTGTCACAGGAGGCCGAGCAGTGCGGGGGTGGAGAGCAATATGAGCAGCTGGCGTCTCTCCTCCAACAACGCTCAGCCTTCTGTGACAGATTAGGAGAGCGGTGTGGGAGCGGAGACAGCTGTTAGTGTTATCACAGGAGGCTGAGCTCTCCTCCCGTACTGCCCCGCTCAGCCTCCTGTGAGAGATCAGGAGAGCGACATTGTGGGGGCGGAGTCAGCTGTCACAGGAGGCCGGGCCGGCGGTGCATGGGAGGTGTCAGCTGTCAGAGAAGATCAAACTCTCCTCCCCACATGGCTCCTTCAACATCCTGTGACAATGAGTCAGTATAGAGAGCGGGTACGAGCACTCAGCAATCATTGATCTCAGTGTTTGTAAATAATTGAGGACATAGTATGTTTACTGTGTCCCCAATTATGAATAAATGGGAAGTGATCTACATCACCTCCTGTTCATTCATGATTGTGGACATGGTAAACATACTATCTCCACAAATTATGAATGAACAGGCCCACTCAATTTAGAGGCTTCCTGTTCATTTATAACAGGGCCTGCAGAAAAAGAGATTGTTCTCAATCTCTTTTTCTATTTTAAAAAGGGAATGTCAGGGGTCTGTTTAGACCTGCTCATATTTCCCCAAAGCCCCCAACAGTAAAGTAAAAAAATTAAAATATTTTATATAAATAAATAAAAATAAAATATTTGAAAAAATTTGAAAAGGTTAGACTCATAATGTTTCGGTTTCAGCCTGACATTTATTTTTAGTTTCGATTTTGAAAAAGTTCAGTTCTTATTAGAACCCCTGTGATGTTACTTTTTTTCTGTCTATGTCCTGCTGAAAAGGTTTCCCTTCACTTCCTGTCCCAGAAACACAACCAGAATTAAGGGGAAATCCCCTCAAAAGGACCAGGACATATGTTCCCATTGGAAAATTTCCCCTCACCTCTTGCTCTCGTGACAACACTAAACATTTTGTCTTTCCCCTTACTTTCTGTCTCTGTGACAATGGTAATCAGGACAAATAGAGACCTCCCCAGTGTAGACATGGAATTAGAAACTTTACAACTCTTCCCTACTCTATCTAAAACCAAAAATTGCCTTTACATATACTTTTAGCTAATATTAAAATCTTAGTGTACTCAGTTGATTGGGAAATAGAGATGGGGTCTGGTTTCAGCCTCCTATAATAGATCAAGTATGAAATAGAGTGTACATTGATAAAAAGAAGCATATCTGATAAGCAAATGACAGACATACAGTATCTTAAATGGGCATTGCTTTATGGTGGCTTTAGACAGACAGACGCCATTTTAAAAAAACGTAAGCGATTTGTCTGTCTTATCACGCTGCGCACCCGCACTTGATGCACTTTGTACGTTACTCACCAGTGAGGTGAAAGGGGCACTGCTTTGACTTCTAAACATCTAAAAGAATCTCTGTCAATGTTAATGAGCTTTTTAACTTGCGTGTGTATTTATTTTCACTCGGCTGTTGACACATATGGTGCCTAGTTATTGTAAGCTAAGGTTGAATAGGCCCAGTGTTGCATGTACGCACCTGTGCAATAGCTGACCGTAAAATTTATAGTGATATATGCAGAAGTTCATAGAAGGAAAAGCTAATAACAGGTCATCATTCTCTTAATATATATCTGCAAATAGATTATCATGCAGTTATTGTCCTTTCCCAACATTGAATACTATTAGCCCTGTATACCATTTCTAGGGATAGGCATTGTCTGCTTGTTCTAAATGTGTCCATAGAAATCTTTTTGAAATAGTGTGTTTATGACATTTTGGAACGCTGCTAAGATTCAATACACATCTGTTTTGCTGACCGTTTATTTATGGTTCACTAAATGTGAAGCTTTATTGAAGGGGTTTCTGCTATAGTCCAGGGTCCAGGCTTTCCATTGACGTAAAACTCAGTCTACTATGGAAGAGAACAACTAACAACAGTCCTGTCATTTCTTTGTACAGATGAGTAATGTGACAACAGAGTACTGCCTTGACGTTATACAGAAGTTTGAAGTTTCAGAGGAAAACAAGGAACAAAACGTATTGGGAATAGAAGGTAAGAGTTTCATATTATTGGTGTGCTCTTAGGAAAGTATCTCAGCTTTTTCTATCAATTTCTGTTTTGTGTATGTTTCAGGACCTTGGCTAGAATAAAGTATGAAACATAAAGCAAGATTTGTATTTTTTAGAGACTTTCCCTTTTGTTGGTATAGTCACAGGTAACAACAAGTTCCAAAACAAAATACTCAAACTGTGGCTTTTAAGGTGTCACAACAGGAGTGAAAAAAATAATACAATTACATTATAGCAAACAAATCACATCTTTATTAAAATCTATTGATAATAGATGATGATAATATCATAATAACATATATGATAAAAGGACATAAAAACACAACCACTAATGCTGAGATGTAAATCAGCACCACTCAGCACCATTTTATTTGATAATTAGGTATTAAGGAACACACAACCCAGACCACACAACCACATTCTGTATGTAAATAATTCAAAATAAATAAAACAAAACTTTCAATGATCAATCTCAATGATCAATCTCCTCATAGGCATATGCCGATCATGTATTATATTTGCAATTAACATCTTTGAATTGTGCTTCAATGTGTAGTGAGTCCAGTCTTCTACGCGTTTCACCAAAGCTTCCTCAGGAAGATAGGAGGCAGTCTTTAATCTTAACATCATAAAATTATAATTACTTCTTAACATCCTAAGTATTAAATGTACAAGTAAACACTCACAGCACACAATAAAGACATAAATGAATGCCCCTTTACAGGATTTTGGTGGTGAATAAGTCCAGATATTTGGGGGACACCCCCCATTCTCACCCAGGAGAGATCGGGGGTAAAGAGCATACAGAGGTAGTGGGACAATAGATGCCCGATAACTATCCATAGATAGCTGTGTCGATTATTACAATGAAGATCTATACCATTAAGGTATTCAAATACCAACATACCAATATATATATAGATATAAATAGGGGGCCCCAGAGACATTTAAATATGTAACAACAAGGTTGGAAGGCTACAGTGGCATTTTGCCAGGCATGAAACAAAATAACAACTGTAGTGTATACGTGTTGTCATTTAGATACCTTGGTGCCTATAGGCAACACTATATTCTCTCTTAAGTAGTTGTAGCATTATTAACAATGGGTTTGTGCTAACAGTTTCATAGAAAGACAACTCCTTCACTTGCCCCTGCAACCTCTGTTTTTTTACTTTCATTGCTCTTCCCCAGAATTTCATTACTTTGCTTCTGTGTCCAAGGACAGTACTATACCTGACACAGCCAACATTGGAAACCAGTAGGTTTCCAAAGCAGGCTCTGATACTTAAAGAAAATCAAGCTGCTTTGATGATTATTGCTAACATTAAGGTTATTAGCAGCTGGCTGGAGGAATTACGGGGAGGACCCCTAAAGGGGTGTCTCCTGAAAAGGGTTTGTCATTAGCCACTTGACACATACATGTTAGACATATACTGTAGTAGGTCCACTATAACATAGGTCCACATAACATACACTATATTACCAAAAGTATTGGGGCACCCCTTCAAATCATTGGGTTCAGGTGTTCTGTGAAATTCCTTGCTACAAAATATTCCACGGTCAACGGATAGTAGTATTATAACAAAGTGGAAACAACTGGGAACAACAGCAACTCAGCCATGAAGCGGTAGGCCATTTAAAACAAAAGAGCGGGGCCAGCGCATGCTGAAGTGCACAGGGCGCAGAAGTCGTCAACTATCTGCAGAGTCAATAGCTACAGACCTCCAAACTTCGTGTGGCCTTCAGATTGGCACAACAACAGTGCGTAGAGAGCTTTGCGGAATGGGTTTCCATGGCCAAGCAGCTGCATCCAAGCCTTACATCACCAAGTGCAATACAAAGCGTCGGATGCAGTGGTGTAAAGCATGCTGCCACTGGACTCTAGAGAAGTGGAGAGGTGTTCTCTGGAGTGACAAATTACGCTTCTGTGTCTGGCAATCTGATGGACGTGTCTGGGTTTGGCGGTTGCTAGGAGAACAGTACTTGCCTGACTGCATTGTGCCAAGTGTAAAGTTTGATGGAGGGGGGATTATGGTGCGGGGTTGTTTTTCAGGGGTTGGAGTTGGCCCCTTAGTTCCATTAAAGGAAACTCTTAAGGCACCAGCATACCAAGACATTTTGGACAATTTCATGTTCCCAACTTTGTGGGAACAGTTTAGGGATGGCCCCTTCCTGTTCCAGCATGACTGTGGGCCAGTGCACAAAGCAAGGTCCAAAAAGACATGAATGAGCGAGTTTTGGGTGGAGGAACTTGATTGGCCTGCACAGAGTCCTGACCTCAACCCAATAGAACACTTTTGGGATGAATTAGAGCGGAGACTGCAAGCCTGGCCCTCTCGTCCAACATCAATACCTGACCTCACAAATGTTCTTCTGGAAGAATGGTCAAACATTCCCATAGACATACTCCTAAACCTTGTGGACAGCCTTCCCCCGAAGAATTGAAGCAGTTATAGCTGCAAAGGGTGGGCCAACTCAATATTTAACCCTATGGGCTAAGACTGGGATGCCATTAAAGTTCATGTGCGTGTAAAGGCAGGCGTCCCAATACTTTTGGTAATATAGTGTATGTTAGGCATAGGTCCACTAAAATACAAGTTTCAGTCTTCATTTCATTTGAAGCTATGGTGCCAAAATTGTGGCCTGTGTGATATTAGCAACTTAATTTCTATATTTCTTCTGTGCTTTGTGAACTGCAGTTTAATCTAAAACTGAGACCCCCCCCCCGACAGAAAATGGCTATGACAGGTGGGGGTTTCACTAAGTGTACAAAATTTGGTACCATAAGGCTTTAAGAAATATAAGATGTTGATTGCATAGGTTGTTCTGGATAAAACTGTAGCTGGTCAAAATGTATTCTAATCTATGGTGACTGCAATTGTCATTAAACAATTTTTAATGTTTGATTTTTGTAGATATTTTGGATTTGGCTAGATCCGGCGGTTAAATGTCCAGGTCATGCCTGGTGCTGGTTTATGGTGTGAAAATCATTGCTTTTAGGAAAATGGTGAATAGGATCCTGTGAACTATCAGCCGTTTTCACAACATAACGTTATGATGTGTAAGCTGAAGACACCATGCTACTATTGCTGGGAACTTTGTGCTTTTTCAGATGAAGTTAATGGTGATATTCAAATCTGCTGCCAAGTGTTCTAGAACTTTTTATTAGCTAATGAATTGGAAATGATTGTCTTAGTTTCTTTGAATGCTACAGTAGTTGCGGAAGCCCTAAGGTTGTAAAAACAAGGTCACATATGGTATGTTAATTTTGAAACTAACTTTATTTAACATTCTCCGCTGTATCCATCAGTACAAATATGAAAAATAGGTCAGATATCACAAGCTTCATTCTGCTACTCTGCCGTGTGTCATATTGTTGTATTTTGTTTGGATACATTTGTAATACTTGTGACCAATATGTATTAATATAAACAACACAGATCTCTGTTTATTTACTTACAGTTCTGTGATGTTGTATTCTGATTGCAAATATGAATTTTTGATAGGTCTTACAGTATTTCCATAACTCATGTAACGTTAATGGGCGCTAACAGTGCAGGGTTTGCAATGATACTTTTATTTTGATCTAACCAAAGCCAAATCATAAGTCTAAAGATAAAACTGAACTCCAGGAAAAACATTATATTTTTTACATTTGCTTTATAAATATAAACTAACTATATTAATGCATTTCCCATGTGTGGCTGATGCTGCGTTTAGGACGACTCCTATTTTTATCAAGCCTGTACAGTACTCTAAGTGCTAAACTTCTGGTAGTGAGAATTCCAGAACTGAAGTACAAGTTTGATAGTGGATCACTCACTTTCCACCTCAGTCATTCTTAAAAAGTCTTTCTTATTCCAGATACAAGGTATTCTGTGAATGGACTAGGAGAGATTGTGACATTCATCCTCAACTCCTCCATTCCAATCTAATGCTTGTAATAGAATACAGAACCCGCTCTAATGATAATCAACAAATATATTTGATTAAATACAATAACAAGAATATGGAAGAGCAAGGATGTCGACACTTGAAGGTTACCTAAACGTAACTTGAAGATAAACGCTGCCATAATAACACATAAGATATGGTCACTGAAAATACGCTACACTTGGCTAAACACTAAAACTATGGGATACAGTTCTCCTTTATGACCTCTAAAATATAATCTTAGCTGACATACTTAGTGTTGTGTGACACACTGCAAGGCAATCCATTTTCTTGACACTTGCTGCCTTATTGGACAATTCTACTAAACTTTGTTGGGTGTTTGGACGATTTCTTAAGGGACCGTAATATACAGGGGTACAGGTACTCCTAGAATGAGATCCTAATAGGTTGGACTTGATGGACTAATGTCTTTATTCAACCTCAAATACTATGTAACTATGTAACTATGTGTACATTGTATTATTATTTTTATTAGTTTATTATTTCATTGGTGTTACAGTTAGACATCCATAAACTTCACATTTGTGTATTGTGTCAAGATGAGCATCACTTTCCTATTTACACATTTGTTCATAAAGTGCCTGTCATCGCCTTCCTCCTGCTGTTGTGTATGATTTCAAATTCTCATCATCAGGTGATAGGTTTATAGAAAGTTGTAAGGATTTACCTAAGGACATCTGGGGAAACTGCTGAAGTAGGAAACTTGCAAAGAAAAATATATTGTAAAAGTATTTTTTTTGCCTTTAAGTAAACCTCCACCTAGCCCCCCAGCCCCCTAAACTATCCTAAGATGAAACCCCCTCACCCACTTGCTTACTTTCTATGATAGCTGCAGCCATCCCTGTTGTTTACATCCCAGCTAGCAAAATCTAAAATGGTCCTGCAGGTGCATCCACAATAACGTCCCATAGATTTGAATAGAACATTTCTCTTGCAGTAGGGGTTCTTGCCATTCTAGTAGCACCATAGTAGATTTTTCCAAACCAGGATATAAACAGTGTGAGAGTTTTTCACCATTAGAGGATGTAAGTGGACACCTAGGTGTCTGTTTGTGTGTGGGGTGGGGGTGGTTTCAGTTTTGGATAATTTAAGTATTCAGGGAGGAAGGGAGGGGGCCCTAGGTTCTTAACCTAAAGGTATACTTATCTATTAAAGCTTTCTTCTGGGATGGGGAAATGGGGATGTGACTACTAGTGGAGGTAACTGTGAAGCCATAGTAGGTTTATGTACTATTTAAAGGACTTGGGACCAGTGGAAGGGTGATTTTTTTGGTGGCTTGATTTGATTGTTTTTTCTTAGCTGTCTTGTAACAGTGTTTTTACATTTTTATTATAAGCAAAAGAGGAGTAAAAAGAACCCTCTTCTATCTGACAGGTTTTACCAGCTTCATGAGAAGTCCTGCAGGTGACATATTTAACCCAGTGCATGGTGAAGTTTACCAGGACATGGAGCAGCCACTGTGCCACTACTACATTGCCTCATCACATAATACATACTTGACAGGGGATCAGCTGCTGTCTCAGTCTAAGGTAGACATGTATGCTTGGGTATTACAGGACGGATGTCGGTGCATAGAAGGTATGTTAAAGTTTTAATATTTAAAAAAAAATGTATCAGTCACGGGTATAATTACATTATACATTTCTATCCTCATTTAATGAATTATCTAAAAACTATTAAGGTCTGCTGTTTTGTCTTCCTGTCATGATGTAATAAGACGTTTAGATAAAGGAATTCATCTCTGTGTTTAAACAGGACATTTAGAAATTGTTAAGACATGTAGTGATAGGATTGAGTAACATATAATACAATTAAGTCAAATAAACCTCTCTAATTCACAGCAGTCAGTGAGGCCAATCAATAATTTCAGCGATAAATAAGTATCATATGTGTGATTATGAATGAGTTGCTTAGATTTGCTTATTATAGATTGGGCTTTCTGTCTTACAAGCTGTGTAACATTTTTGAACAATATATTGCAATGTAGCTGTACTCAGCCGCTGCTGAGAATTTTAATGTAATTAAAATATGAGATCTGCACATACAAGCCTAATTCAAAACCATAAGGGTAATACTGTTCAGCTATGCCCAAATCTTCCTTCAGTGTTGATTGCTGTATCTCCTTAGCTCGGGTCAAATAGATGTTCTTTTTTCTGCTTTTACAGATGGAAAAAAAGCTCTGATGCTCTTTTAGTGAGTTCTATTTAGCTGTATGATCCCACTGCATAGTAGTGTACAAGTGGTATACCTTATTGTGCCTTAGAAAAGAGAAAAGCTAAAATACAACCACCAATCAGATTTCAGTTTACTGAAGTAAGGTTACTGAATGAGGAATTCTTACTGGTTTTCATGGGTTGCTATACTAGCTGAACTTAAGACAAATAGTTTAAATCACACATGGTTTGTTTACCTGTCAAAATTTTGTAGAGATGTTCCTATAATTCATGTGCCCTTGCCAGCATAGCCAGGTTGAAAACTTTCTTTTTCTACACTGTATTTAAGCACCACAGCCTGGTCATTGACTTATCACCTAGCTGATTGGACACTGAAGGAACATTACCACCCTGATCACTGTTCTCACTCCTGCTAGCAAGCTCCCAATGTTGAATTTACAGCACTGCAATGCATTATATGCTGACTGGCTCATTTAGAATAGTGTAGACTAAATGAGCTATTTAGAAAATATTTAGATTTACATATTCAAGCCTGCTTAAAAATTGTGTTGTTTCTTCAACAGTTGACTGTTGGGATGGGCCAGACGGAGAGCCAGTAGTACACCATGGGTACACACTCACCTCAAAAATCCCCTTTAAAGATGTAGTTGAGACAATCAACAAATATGCCTTTGTTAAAAATGAGTAAGTTGGTTCTTCATGTTTTGTGCAGCAATCAGTTCTGAGTCTTAACTTCCCCTGGACATTTGTTAGATCTGTACTTTTATCAGCCTTAGGTATATCATTTATGGTATAGACAAATTAATTGTTACTATCATAATTATTTTTATAATTAACAATATATTCCATATCTATTTACAGTAGGGTATACAGTAAAGCTACATTATTAAAATGCAGAAGGTAACAGAAAACAGAATGCATGAGCGTCCTGCTTATTTCCAGCTTCCAATTTTAGGGAACATAGACATGAAAAACTGATATGTATTGGGGCCGATGATCTTTATTCTTCCAACTGTGTAACATGGAACTAAATAGGTGTGATCAAGATGAAATATCTAGGTTCCCATAGATGTTATACCTTCTCTCGTCTGATATTTGCTGTTTCAGCAGGACATTAGATAATTTGCAAAGCAAGCAGTATAGTATGACCACATCCATAATTCTGCTTTAAAGGGAAAAAAATACTCCATGATTATACAGTATAGTCTCTTGTTTTATAAATGTGCTTTGGGAGTCTGAATTAAAGGAAGTCCCATTATTTCAATGAAAGGGAAAAGGTGCTGGGAGGAGGGGAAAGCTTGTCACATGGCTTTGACGGGTCTTCTTCCTATCCCAGGGTGTTCTCTGTAGTGTTATGCAGAGGACACTCCTAAGGACATTCACCTCTCTCTCCACCATTCCCTCATTATATGAATGACATATAAAATGCAGGCACATTGTTAAGTAAATAGTGCAATGCCCTTTTAATATTGGCATCTGCTCATCATTATAAATGGCCCCTATGTATTTCTATGGTGCTCCAAAAGAAAAGTGTATACGTAAGACTGAAAATGTTTAGCTTCTCTCCTCTCATCTCTCTGAGGATAGAGACATTCTTGTCATGCGGCAAGGTGAGATCACTCTGAGTTGTTCAGTTGTTGTTATCTGCTTGCCTCACTTTCCCACAACCATCCATTGCTATTGACAACGATGGGACAATTGTATGTTGTATTTTGTGTGCTGTTTGTCACTGCAGAGCATTATACTCTGGGCCCTATAAAATCAAAACCTAATTTGTTTGCTACTATTTTGTTCTTCTTTACTGTAGGTACCCTGTAGTTCTGTCCATTGAAAACCATTGTAATATTCAGCAACAAAGAAAAATTGCTCAGTACCTCAAAGAAATATTTGGAGATAAACTTGACCTATCTTCCGTACCAGTTGGAGAAAACAAACAGCTTCCAAGCCCTCAGAGCCTAAAGGGCAAGATACTTGTGAAGGTAAACATTAATGTATATTGTGAAAAGCATGCTTCATACTTGCCTGTCAATAGATCCATTTATTAACAGCATATACTGGAAAAGCAAGGTCAGCATGTCTGTAATTCAAAGTATACTGCAGAGTTGGCGTTACATTGAAGACAATAGATATTGTTCCTGGAGAGATACTACAGCAAGAACAGAAAACAGATGTTTTTTTCAGTAGCGATAAATCCATAAACAGTCTGCACAAAAAAGTATTCTGAAGAAAAGAATGACATAGGATAATTTGGGTTTTGATGTTTGGCCTGCAGACAAAGTTGAGATTGCAGGCCAATTAATTCTAAATTAAAATGTATTGTGATGGTGTAATGTTTTAAAAAAAAAATAATTATTTCCTTTACAGTACAGAGCGCATATGGATTGGTAACTTAGCTGTTAATTAATGTTCACATGGGGAAATCAATGGTACATAAAAGCGAAAAAAATAAATCTGTGTTAAATAACATGATTGGCTGGTTCATATAGCGGACCACTAATGATGCGCACACACACATATACAGTATTTTTTTTATTTTTAAATGATTCACACTAATGTTTGCTGATCTAGTTGTAAAATTAAATGGAAATGCTGCTTCCCAGATGTTGGCCAGTCATGTACGACTATCTCAGTTGCTCATGTGCCATATCACTTTCTACTTATCTACAAACTCAGACTCCCTCCCACCATCCTGTGTGTTGTATGGGTGTATTACCTTAATTCAAGAAGACCAGCAACCAAGATGTAGTAATGTCTGAGCTGTATATTATCCTTATTCCTGTCTTAAGAAGACCAGCACTGCATACTGTTGGAGTCCAGGAGCCTAGATGTAGTCATTTCTAGGACCGTTGGACCCAGAGGAGCAGACATTTCCAGTTTGTAGGTTAAATCAGCATGCTCCTGCACTAAAGTCAGCTTATTCCCTCATTACGCTGTTTGACTCTTGAATACTGAGCCTTGCTGTGCACCACCTGCAGTGGTACCAGTTGCAGACTCTGGAAAATCCTGATTTAATACATCAGTAAAATATTTTTAGAGGGACATCTTTTCTAGTTTTGATACAATACAGAAAATACCGTAATCAGCTTCAAATGTCTATTTTTAATGCACAGCATTCCTCATGCAATCATTTTATGCAACCATTTGAAAGCATATGATTTAAACACATCATCATGGCACATTGTACTCTTTTTCCAGGGGAAGAAGTTGCCATATGACCTGGCAGAGGATGTGGAAGAAGGAGAAGTGTCTGATGAAGACAGTGCAGATGAAATTGAAGATGAATGCAAACTAAGCAATTGTTTTGTAAGTCAGATTCTTGTTTGGTAGAAGAATATGGCAGATGATTATCAGACACATATTATGCTGGCACATTCTTATTTGTATTGCTCATTTATTACAGGCATTTATATTGACAATTTACACAGCACTTTACATACTGTACATTGCCCTCAAAGAGCTTACAATCAAAGGTCTCTATCTCACATCTGTATGTACACACATACTAGGTCCAATTTAGACAGGAACCACATAGCCTACCAACATGTCTTTAGAGTGTAAAAGTAAATCAAAATACCTGGAGGAAACCCACAGGAGCACAGTGAGAACCTACAGACTCCATGCATATAGTGTACTGGCTGGCATTTATACTGAGGACCCCAGTGCTGCAAGGCAGAAATCCTAACCACTAAGCTATTATGCTGCCCAACATGAAAAATACTGGTCACCTGTTAAGGTTTTGGTTGGTGGAAAATCAGGGCCAAGAGATGAACCTGGCCAAAGATGTTTGAAATGGATGCATGTCTTGGTCTCTGCATATACCTGGCTCTAGCGTTAAATCAGATAGCCAACCTTCAGATAGACACATCCTTCCTCTAAACACCTTTAAGGCTGCTGAAGTCTGAAAGAACGCAAAGGTATTGCAGTAATAGCCAAATCAGGTTAAAATGGTAAGAATAAGGTGCTGCTCGTCCAGTGCTGTGTTCCTCTGTAGCACATACAGTGAGGGAACTACTGTTGCTAAGTCTTCATTTTGAATTCATAATAACAGTTTAATATATATATA